ACTCACATGCTTAAGCCATTGATGATATACTTCTATGATGTTAGTCTTTCTCCACCTTCCGAGGTCAAAAATATTCACCCCATACAACCATCCACAGCTATCAGGATTCACATCAGCTGAAGAGAAAATTGGATCCATGAAGTTGAAGTAATCTTTGTACTTTCTTCCTGGACAACAATCAGGCCCGCACCATGAATCAACAACTGCACCAGCCACTTTCTGATTGAGATCTAAGTCCCAAAGAGAAGATAAGTCATGCTGTACTACAACATCATCGTCTAATAACACAACTTTGTCAAGATCCGGGAACAGCTGTGTGAGATCCAAAAATATCAGAAAATGAATCAATTTTTTCATCAGATGACAAGAAAATTACTCACTATACTTCATGAGCTCAGAACGCTCAGTAAAAGCCGAGAAATTACCACGGGTAGATAAATTCGGAGGTGGTTTAAGAGGGAGATGCTGCTGGTGCTAAGGGCATCTAAGTTTCGATCTTTTACTTTCCCTTGCTCAAAGTTTTCCATTTTCAGACTGCGGTAGTAGCGACTCCAGATTTGATGATGAATTTCTAGCATCTCCTTGACCACAACATTGACTTCGTGAGACCAATCATATTGATGCAAGCCCTTGACTTCAACGACTGCAGAATATACTGTGTTTATTGCGAACCATGCATGCATGGAAGGGTACGTCTTTTTGTCAGTTACAATATGGAAGACTAGTTTTTCAGGATTGCTTGATGTTTTGATAATAGAGGAGACAACTACAGAGACAGCAAGGAGATTATCGCTTAAAAGAACCACGTGGTGAAAGGAAGAGTCTGTGAGACGGTAAATGTATTGCGGCTGTGGTAATCGAGAACGTGCTGCAGCATTTACAGCATATTCTTCAGCCAAATTAAGTGAAAGGCAGTGCAGGGTCTTGGGTATACCATGAGCAGCTAAATGCCAGTATAAAGACTCGTGCCACTTAGCTTCTTTTACAGTATGCTCCAACCTTGCTATCTGCATACAGAGTACAGTTTGTTTATGAGCAAGAAATAATNAAAAAAAAAAAAAAAAAAAAAAAATCAAGCACAGAGTTAGTCAAGCCACGAAAGTTGTATACCAATAAGTTTCTGCAACTAAGGGAACATATAGACTGCTTACTGAAAAAATCCCAGAACATAGCACAATGTTAAGATGATTATTATAATGATGTTCTAAGCAAATATAATTTCTTTCTAATTATATCTCTGCATGTGAACTTCATCAACAAATAGAGCCATTACGAATTTACGATGTTGTTGCAAGAGGATAGCTTCCCATTTTGGTTGCAAGTCATTGAGTTTCTTCACCTACGTTTACCTTTTTATTCCATATTTTCTGGGGTTTTAGTCATCAACCGCAATGGTGAATAAATTTGAAAAATCGCTATAAATGGTCAAAGAAAACCTTGCCTTTTTTTTTTCCCGAAAACCTTGCCTTAACACGTGAAAACTAATAGATTGAGAACTAGTCTTGGAGAGCTTTCATTCTACTCTCCCTTTATCCCTTTCGCATCGCGAACTAAAGAAAGTACCAATTTAGTATACAGCAGCAACAAATAGATCTGTCTAACTCAAAGAAGGACAAGAAGAAAATAAAACAAATATAGCATTCGGGGGGAATGGATGATATTTGGCAGAAGATGTCAGTCGAAAGCTATCAACTTACCATGGCTTTAGTCTTGAATGCAAAGGCTTTAATGTCTTTGTTCAATGCCATATCCTTTATTAGATCCTCGAATGAAAGAGGTATGGAATTTGAACTCTCCAATCTGGCAATTCCAACTCTACCATCATTATTTTCATCACCACTAGTGGTTGTCTCCAGCAAGGCCATTGACAGTTCTTCTCTGAGCTTTTTAACCAATACGACAGCATTATCGTGAGCAAAATACTAACAACATCAAATAAAATAAAACTATCTGAAAACAAATTAAGACATATCATAATGTTGTCTACATAGGATTTAACTTTTGGTGCCCATGTTTGTGAATGGCTATGGAAAACTCACATTATTACGGCCACATGGTGCAGCGGTTTACACATAGAATATAGTCTAATTGTATTTACATGACCAACATATAATGTGGCCTATTGCCTTATCTATCGAAGGACAACTCATTCACTATTGGATTAAAGTTTCTATCTTCACCCGTATTTTGTTAGGGATAAAATGACCTGTACTAGAAATAGAAAGACAACTTGTTTCTTGAACATTTTGAAAAAAGACACAAAATTATTTAAAATTTTAGATAACCTCCCTCAAACTCCTCCACCTCAATCACCACCTTCAGACACCAAGCCAGTGCTTACATGATGATGGCAAGTCTTCAAAGACTTAGCTCGACATTGTCCCTCGCATAATTCTTATAATGTGCAAATGTGGGTGGCAGAGCTAGTAAACTGAGAGGCGGACAGGAAAAACTTTGGACAATGTGGACAACAAAGTATATTTTAGGAACTTCTTACTTCATCACAGAACTCCAATAATATAATTCTTTCTTGAACATACAATATACTGAAATATAGACCACTGCATCTCATGTTTCTTACTTAATATATATACTTGAATCTTGCTATTTTTTTACTACACCACTCAGTTATTGTCATGAGTTTTCTTCCTTAATACATATGTATATGATCTTTGTAGATGGGGAGGATGAACGGAGACCGGCAACTCACATCGGGCAACTGGAGGAGAAGGTGGCCTCCTGAGTCCTGATTTCATTTTATAGTTTTTTTTTTTTTTTTTNTAAATTGTTTTTATTTGAATACAGGTAAACCTGCGAATACATATATTGTTGGGAAGAACGAGAAGTAAGTATGCGAATCGTGATGCTTTGATTGAAAATTTTTCATTTCACTAGAGAAAGTATTTAAAAAAAAATAAATAGGGAAGCAAAATAATCTACCTATATCTATATCTATATACTATTATAAAAGGATGAGTACTTTTGTAAAAAAAATGAACTACCTAAAAATCCTTACTTTGACATATTTTTAAATTTTAATGGCAAATTAATAATACATTAATAATTTAATACCCATCCCGTCTTATATTTTTAAATAATAATTTACCTAAAAATTCATTACTTTGACATATTTTTTATGAAAAATTAGTAATAAACTAATACTTATCCCATCTTATATTTTTAATTAATAATTAATATTTAGTTAATTAAATACAAATACACGAACAAAACATACCACATCTCCTAATAAATACAATATTCTCACACCATTATCGCTCAAATGAACTACCTAAAAACCCCTTAATTTGATATATTTTTAATGCTAAATTAGTAATACATTAATACTCATCTCATCTTATATTTTTAATTAATAAATAGTATTTTACCAAAAAAATCAACCTTTATTTTGACATTAAAATCCAAAAAAATCAACCTTTATTTTGACATATTTTTAATGTCAAATTAGTAATACTCATCTTATTAAATATTTTAAATTAAAAACTAATATTTAGTTAATTAAACCACAAATACACGAACAAAACATTTCACATCTCTTAAAATTCAACCACAATATTCTTGCACCAATATTGTTCACGAATTTGCTTTCTTCCACAAATATCCCAAACTGCTTTCTACCATATCTCCCACCGAGAAATCAACGAAACATCAACCAAAATAATAAAGCTTTTAAAGGATATAAATTGTTGTTTTGTAATATATCCTTAATTTTAATGATAAAATCGTAATCATATTTAATAATTCTAATATACAAATGTGTTTTAAAGAAAAATGATCCATAAAAAACAACATAATAAATACTTATAAAAAATTAAAATATTTTCAACTATTTATTTACCCATCTACAATTTAACAAAACGATAAATCTTGGTAAAAACATAAATAACTTAGTTGAGGGGCTACTTGTATATAATAAATAATTTTAAAGATACATACTTAACATTAATTTAGAAAAGATAGTTAAAATTTTACTGAAATCATTCAATATATAATTTAAAAAAAAAATTATTTGCTGTTAATTTTGTGAATATAATATATAAATATCCTATTGCATATGTACAATAATAACTATTTTCATTATTTAATATTTAATATAAGAAATGTAACCCAATTGATAAATTAATATGTAATCCCGAGGTAAAATAAATGAATGATTTCTAAAAAATATTTGGATTAAAAAAATTCATGTGTTTAATATATTTTTAATAGAAAAATTGTAAACACAATTAACTATTAACAAAAAGACTACTACATAAAAATTTTAATGTTTAAGAAGGAATACAAAAAAATTGTCAGATTGCAATAAAAAAACCCAACAACAAGATATTCCAATGAATATTTCATTGAAAAAATTTATTATTTATTCCAACAGAGATCATCTTAAATTACATTGGAAATGAGTGGTTTTAATGATTTCACTTACCATTATTTATTGTTGTGTCAATTTTTGTTGGAGTTTTTTTTCTGGATCATATTTCAAACGTGAAAAAAATTGTCATTGAAATTATAAAAAAATTCAATGGAAGTTCCATTGGAAAACTAATTGCAGTGCGGATCGAAAATAATTCATATTCGAGGCATTGTTTAGTTAACAGAAAAATATACCATTAAAGTAACATAATGTCTTTACAATTTATAAGCTACACTTTTCACAATTTGTCATATTTCTCATTTGTAATACTTTTTTTACACATCAATACAACCATAATAAGTCAAAAATATTTTTTTTTTAAAAAAGCATATTTTTTCTCAGTTCAACGTAAGAAAATTATCGAAAATAATAATTTTTTTAACATTTTTTAAAAATAGTAATTTTGTTTACTTTAGTTTGTGAGAAAAATGATACTATATTAGTGGGACTAAAGGAATATGTTGAATTCCTAATGTAATACTTGGCAAGTTGGCATTGACAAGTGCTTACATAAACTGCAATTTATTTGAAAGGTATCCTAGTTCCTAGATGCCTAGTTGTAGTACTATTTTCCAACTACTTTTTCTCATAGCAACAATATGACAAATATGTAAATACCAAATAGTGATGATTACCGACAGACCCGAGCAACACGCTTATCTACCCAAACATGATAAAGAGACAAAAACGTATTTACCTTCATGTTAATTACTCCACTACCCCAAATTATTCTAATTTAATAATAATAATTGAAAAAAGAAACATTCTTTTTTTTTACCAAGATCATCTATTTTTCTTTTAATTTTAGTTCATGCACCACAATAAAAAATGACTACCGGTTAGACGAGTCGATCCATCATATTCTTTAAATAAAAATATTTACTTACATTGTGAAATATTATATTTGATTTACTTTATTTTATTTTTTAAAATATGTTATTATGGATGAAATCTCCTTATGTCTAATTGCCGAATGCGTTAATTCTAAGTGACAGACTCGCACGCTTAGGAATTCTATGTGGCAAAACTATGCTTCGTAGCTAGGGCTGGATATAAATTAGAATTTTTTATAAACTAATAATTAGGCTTGGATTGCATTATATATCTTTATTATTCACATCAAATCTTTGATTGATCTCTTCGTTCTTTTCTTATACAATTAGTTACCATAAAATTCCTTTACATTTCTTTTTCATATATTACAATATATTACATTTTATTTTCTTTTTTAATTCATACACCAATTCACGACCACTACTCTTATTAGAAAATGAATATCCACATCTAGCACTCGTCACCGTTTTGTAGACCTGGTCAAAGCCTGGGAATAGATCCAAACTCCGAAAAAGAAAGGGTCAATCTTCTGAACCCAAGAGAAAAGAATCTATAAATGTGTCTTCTTCTTATTTTTTAACTTTTATAACTTTTTTGTTTTAATTTGTTTTCTATATATGATATGTCAAATATATTATCTTTTAACGATCTTGGATTTTACATCCATATTACATATATAAAATACAAAACAATGATATATATTCTTATAAATAAATTATAAATTTATTTATCAAACTACAATGATAAAATTCAAAAAAAATACAAATTATCTTATGAAGCAATAGAAATTGATTTATATTAACATTTCTTTTTCATATATTACAATATATTACATTTTATTTTCTTTTTTAATTCATACACCAATTCACGACCACTACTCTTATTAGAAAATGAATATCCACATCTAACACTCGTCACCGTTTTGTAGACCTGGTCAAAGCCTGGGAATAGATCCAAACTCCGAAAAAGAAAGGGTCAATCTTCTGAACCCAAGAGAAAAGAATCAATAAATGTGTCTTCTTCTTATTTTTTAACTTTTATAACTTTTTTGTTTTAATTTGTTTTCTATATATGATATGTCAAATATATTATCTTTTAACGATCTTGGATTTTACATCCATATTACATATATAAAATACAAAACAATGATATATATTCTTATAAATAAATTATAAATTTATTTATCAAACTACAATGATAAAATTCAAAAAAAATACAAATTATCTTATGAAGCAATAGAAATTGATTTATATTAACATAGCATAAAACATTTATTTAATTGAAAAGAATACATATAACTAAGTATGAACATACAATAAATATAAAAAAATTAAAATTATGTATCAACTTAAATAAAAACTATAAAGAGATTGAATATTATAATGATATTAAAAATTAAAAAAAAATGATAATTGTTATTAAAAATAATAAAAACTCCCCCTATATATAATTTCCGAATATGCTGAGCCTAAGTGGCAAAGTCGCACGCTTCGGAATCCTATGTGCTAAATTTTTAAGCTTTGTTGTTTAATTTGGATAAATTTTAATATATTTCCAATTCAAAAGACTAAGCTTGGAATATCAATAAATATTATGGATATTTATGGCATTTTTAAGAGCACTAATTATCTTTTAATATCATTTTCTATTGTAGACCGGTGTAATTTTTTTTTTCTCAATCTTTCTTTTTTTCCTCATATTTCTTTTACAATTATAACAAAATTATTAACTTAAATTATAAATATGTTTAAAATTTACAATTATAACAAAATTATTAACTTAAATTAAAAATATATTTAAAAGTTAATAAACTTTTATCTATTAACGAATTTTTAAATATAATATATCCAATTAATCATGTCTTGATGAACTTCGATTTGACATATATATTAGAGTAATGCTATTTAGCCTACTTGGATGACAACTTGAGTTACAACCCAAGTGTAAATGTATTATCAAAAAGTTAAAAAATAATGCATTTACACTTGAGTTGTAACTGTTATTCAAGTTGGCTCTATAACATTACTCTATATATTATACATACAAAATAAATAAATAATTTTATTATTTTTATAATCAAAATTAAGTTTACCCATTCATATTAATTCGAAAAAATAAAATTGTTTAAACTAATTTAACTATAAAGTAGTTATCTCATCTAAACTATAAAAATTATAATATAAAATGATAAATCGTGTAAGTGACGATGTTATTATAAAAATAAATTTTGTTAACAAGTACTTGTGTAAATACACAAGTATTGTACTAGTTATGAGTGTAGCCTAACAAAATGACACACTACAGACCAAAGAATAATGAATTTACTTACCAAGGCAGCATCACTCCCGCCAAAAAGCCTCCACGTCATACACGCTGCAGCACCACGAATACACGGTTAGTTTGCACATTCGCCCACTGAAAATAAAAAACTACAGCACTGCCCCAACGAAAGAAAAATGAAAAAAAAAAAAGGAAAAACGAAAACAATAAATCAAAAACCTAGAAATTAGTACCAATTGGCGACGAGCAAAGGGCAGCGGATTCCAGAGCCAAAAGAGCAGCTCTAACAAATAGAAACGGCAAAAGCAGCCCCACCAGCAACCTCGCCGGCCGGTGAGACAATCGCCTGCCGCCACCTGCCGCCGCCAGCGGATTCTTCCCCTTCATCCCCCAAAGCCGCCGGCCGACACCGGACGCCGCGAATCTCTTAAACCCAGCCGCCGATGTACAGAGCTTCATTTCCCGACCGCCGATTTCCGCCTCTTCTTGTTGAAAAACATTCTCACCACGAGAAATTAAACCCGATCAACTTCAGATCTTAGTAGCTAGATAAGGTGCGCTTGAATTTGTGGACAATTGGCGCTCACTGAAACAGGGGATCGAAGCTCAGCTATTAAAATAATATATTTGTTGCGATTTGTCAAAAGGAAGAATGAGATCACGCAATCTTGTCGAGGCAAAAATACGTACAATATGTGCGTGAGTGTATATTTTATGTGTGCGTTTGTTTGTGGGTTTTTTAATTTGGTGGGCAGAAAAAGCTATTATGTGCAGAACCAATTACGCGTTGAATAGTATATAGATTGAGTGCAAAATGCAAAGCCACTGTACTGTATCTCTCATTTGTGTGGTCTCTGCGTCATTTTCTAGTGGTATTGACGTATGTATAAAAATTTAATGAGCAAACATATAAGTCCCATAATATTGACAATCTTGCAAAATTTGGTCCTGTATTATTTATCTTAGTTTTATTTTTTGACATAAATTTGGGTTTGAAATTTTATTGTCACGCAAGGTTGTACATAATTAATTCTATATGTTGATAAGTATTTGAAATAAAAAATAGTAATTAGAATAATGTGGTTTGATTTAATTTTGAATTGGTGTGATTTGTGGTGTCAATTTGGACATTTAGTGGGAGCATATGAGATTTTTTTTATTTCCATTATTGGCTTATGAATCGAAATTTATTCTAAAATAATATTTTTATGATTTTTTCATGTTTGTTTTGTTAGTGATAATAGATATTTAAGTTGTGAATCAAAATTGTTATAAACACGTCCATCTATCATAGCGCTTTCGTATATGAATGTACTAAATAGATATTGTCTAAGCTTTTATATCTAATATTTTTCTTTATAATCTTGCCAATACAACCAAAAATAATAATAATTAATCAATATTATGTATTTTAATATAAAAATTATATTCATTTACTTACATTATACTTATAATATTTTATTATTTTTATATTATATAAATCTTAATTATTATTTATTTTATATTCATTCACAATCGCAAAAATAAATATTTTTTACATTTGTTTTACTTTTTCTTGTCTATTTAAACTAGATATTTGTTTTTAAAATATATATCCAATTGCAATTTGCAACTCGAAACGTCCAACCCGAGAATGGGCATATTAATTGATTGATTTTATACACTGTTGGTGACATATAGAGTTATCGTGGTTGACTCCTATATTGGCCTATATCACCCAACCAACCAATGGCCTTTTTTCCGTCCGTCACAACTCACAAACACAAGGCCATGCAACTGGCCGTAATTTATAATAAATTTTACAGAT